AATAAACTTTAAATGAAATCAAACTCATTTATTACACAATTTATCTATACATATAATAAAATTGTAACTAAGCCGAATCTGTACATTAAATATATTTTGGAAAATCTTATTGAAATAAACATATCAATACAGAGGCCGAATCTATAGTTTTTAGAATTTTTGTCTGTCTGTCTGTCTGTTACCGCATCACAAAAAAACCACTGGAGGGATTTTGATAACATTTGGTATGGCGATAGCTGGTTATCCGGGTCAATGAATATGATAGTTTTTACCGCGGGAAAATGTCTCATTTCTGAGAAAAAATACAAAAAGTGCAATGTAAGAGTATACTAATATGTAAAACCTAAGAATTTGGTTTTTGGTCATCTGAACGCGGGCGGAGCCGCGGGCAATGCTAGTATGGTATAAAAGCTTGTTTTTAAAAATATTTTTTCAATATTAATGTAATAATATTTATATAAAGTACCTTTATAAAGCAAATTAGGTACATTCAAAAAATCCGTACAAAAGCTCGCTCGAAGTAAATATCTATACAATTTTATTTGTCATCAAAAGGTCTTTTTGTGTATACTTAATCTTATTTACACACCTCAATAGTTTGTGAGGATGAAAAGAGGGCATATGTAAATAAAAAACCTTTTAGGATTTCAACAACTAATAATAGCACATTATAAATGCGAAATATAATTTACCTAATGTTAAAATTTTCTATTGAAGTGAAAGTGGAGTTTTGATATATTATATTCATTTAACCAGGGAGCTTAAATAATGAATTTAAAAAAATCGTCCTGAATATCAGGGAATGTTAATTAATAAAGATATCTTCTTTATATATATATATAATTCTTCTGTGAGTGTGTATGTCACTGAACTTCTCTCAAACGACTGGACCGATTTTGATGAAATTTTTTGTGTGTGTTCAAGGGGATCTGGGAATGGTTTAGATTCACAATTTGAATAATAATTTTCATCAAAAAAATTATTATAAAAAGTTTGAAATTTTCAAATTAAAGACGTGTAGACAGGACAACGTCTGTCGGGTCCGCTAGTACATATTATAAAATTCTAACTAAGCCGAATCTGAACATGAAATATTTTTTTTAAATCTAATTGAAATAGACATTATAATCGATACAGAGGCCGAATCTATAGTTTTTAGAATTTTTGTCTGTCTGTCTGTTACCGTATCACGGAAAAACCACTGGAGGGATTTTGATGAAATTTGGTATGATGATAGCTGGTTATCCGGGTCAACATATAGGATACTTTTTACCGCGAAAAAATGTCTCATTTCTGAGAAATCTATACTAAACGTTAAAACGCAAGTTATTTTCTACACGATTTAAGATTTATTTGCCACTAGTATATTTGAAATGTCACTTTTGTCTACAAAAAGGTGTGTATATCGTTAGTTCAAGCCCCAGGGCCTTAGAGCAAATAGCGACATCTATTAACAAGAATACGTCACTTGAAGTTTGTACACACTCAATGTATGGGGAAAATGTATTGACAAAGTCGTCGTTGTGTCCTATCTCATGGCTCAAATATACAAAGGAAAATGCCATTACCTGAACTGATATTGAAATTTTGTCGAGAAATTCTTCTCCAAATCATTGTAATATTAAATAAAATTAATAATGATAATTTATATAGAATTTATAAGTGTCAAAAAATCATATTATATAATAATATTTAATACAATAATATTACTTATTTATTTAAGTTGATTCTAGAATTTATCTACGTACAATTATTCCTAGTTACCACCAATAGTGAAAAAATGGTTTTATTTCCGTACATAGCGAATATTTGTTTTCATTTAATACGAGTTTTAAAAATATCTGTAGACTTTTTACTTTTAATTATACTTCATTTATTGAAGTAGGTTATAACATATAAGGCTATTCTACCAATATACATATTTAACATATTTCTATGACTTTCTAGCGGTTCTGAAATTTTATAAACTATACCTACGAAGCCGTCGGCAAAAGTTAGTGGCTGTAAAAAAATACCATTAGTACTTCTATAAGGGCAGTGGTAGCCCAGTGGTAACGCGCTCGCTTGGGAAACCGAATGAAGTGAGTTCAAATCCCGGGTTTCGCACCTCTGATATTTTCATGTGCGAATCATTTCCAACATGATTACCACTTGTCTTAACGGTGAAGGAAAACATCGTGAGGAAACCTGCATGTCTGAGAGAACCTAGCAAGTTTTCAAAAGACATGTGAAGTCCGCCAACCCGCACTTGGCCAGCGTGGTGGACTATGGCCTGATTCCCCTCGTGCTGAAGGGAGGCCCGTGCCCAGTAGTGGGACGTTAAAAAGGGCTGAATTCAGTACTTCTATACTCCATACATACTGATGCCTGCAATTTTACAAGTATTGTTATGCTACCTACAGTGTATTATTGATAAACAAAATAAATATAAATTCAGTTAAAATACAGTTCATGATAAAAAAAGGTTTCTTTATGTGAGTCCTGAACAAATAATTGAGTTTCAATTCTCCCTCTAATATCCTAAGTATAATATATACAACAGAATAATTATATATTGATACTTCATACAATACTTCCAATTAAGGGAAAAAAATCGACTTAATCTTGTCTATAGAAAAAGCTGAGGAGGCCTTTTTAAACAAGATTTAATACTAATCAATACTTACGATAAAAGCATTCAAGTACTTTGAAAATCTTTTAACGGTCTTATGAAGTTAATGATATGAATATTTTTATGTAACTTAACGATTATAGAATATTATATGTTACTAGCGGCTCACCCTCGCTTCGCTCGGGTTCAATTAGATTAAAAAAAAACAAATGTATCCCACGGGAACCGTACATTTTCCGGAGTAAAATGTAGCCTTTCTATTATTCTGATGTATGAACTATATTATTGTAAAGTTTCATTAAAATCCAATTAGTAGTTTTTGTGTACTAAGCTGTATAAGTTACCATAGTTTTTTAACTATCCCACGGGAACTCTTTAATTTTTCGGGATAAAAAGTATCTAAAAGATTGACCGGGGATATAAGGTGCCACCGTGGAAAATTTCATTTAAATCGGTTTAACAGTTTCGGAGATTAGCCCGTACAAACAGACAAACAGAGAAACAAAAAGTTTGAAAAAAAATTTGATTTGTTCTATTTCTCCTCTTACATATCACTGACTCGGTTTTTAGCAAAAAAAATTGTATGAACATGTATACAGACATTCGACCTCTACAGTATTATTATATGTAAAATTAGCGTTGGTGATTATATAAACTTGTCATTTCTACTGACGATAGAGATTATGGAATCTTATACGTCATTTATCTTAGCAATAGCGATTATAGAATCTTATTTGTTATTTCTACTTGTGATAAAGATAATAGAATCTTACATATAATTTCTATAGGCGATAAAGATTATAGAAAATCAATTCGGTTAAAGCTCTCGTCTTTAGTAACGCTAGCAATTATTATGAAACTGTTGAACGAAAACCGATTGTGAATGATTGATTTTTGATGTAGATAAGTAGAATACCAAAATTAGATTTATATCAGACTAATAACATTCATTACTTTCGCATCAATTTTTTATGATATTGGATATTTCCAATTTTACGCCGTTTCCCTTCCGAAGGCCAGAGAATATAGAGACTCATTCAGTACTGAGATAGTAGATTTTTTTATAATATTAGCGAGTAAACGAGCAGGCGGGTCTCCTGATGTTAAGAGATTACCGCCGCCCATGAACATTTGTAGCACCAGAGGCACCACCAATGCGGCCGGCTGCCGGCTTTTCAGGACTTTAATGGTCCGTCCCATGAATAACCATGTTTTTTGATAAGAGTACTAAACGCTGGATTTTTTGTGCTGACTATATGAGAAGTAGCATCTGTAGAGGCAACACAAATATCGTTTTACTCCTAGCTAGCTTTGGTGGAGCAGGCAATGATTCTCCAAGCGACTGAAGAAATTTTGACAGGAAGAAATAAAATAATACATAAACGTTTTTCTTTATCGATTATTATAAAAATGATGTATAAATAAGTCAGTACAACACTAAATATTGACGACTTTTGAAGCAAATAACTAAGCAATTTTAAGCCCCAACCAAGATCCCATACACTGATGTTCACTCAAATTTTTCACCCCCAGTAACATGTATGGAGTGCCATTCTCATTTTTTATTTTTTCATAATTTGACTTCATCATTATATCTAATATATTTAAACGAGCAATTCTTGTATATATATATATATATATATATATATATATATATATATATATATATATATATATATATATATATATATATATATATATATATATCAATACATAATCTGAATCTCGGAAACGGCTCCAACGATTTTCATGAAATTTAGTATACAAGGGGTTTCAGGGGCGATAAATCGATTTAGATTAGTCTTGTCTGGGAAAACACGTGTTTTAGAATTTTCATGCGGTTTTCTTTTGCATTATTCGACGCAAAATATTATGTTCGATAATTTTGCACGCTCGGATATAAGCATCATGGTCAAGCGGCCAAGGTGCAAGACTGAATAAGCGCCCGGGTTCGAATCCCGATAGGATTCAAGGTATTTTTTTTTTTGTATTTAGACAAGTTTTTTCTTTTTTAAAAGAAAATTGTACTTTTGACCAAAAACTCCGAGTGAAGCTCGGTGGCCCAGGTACTAGTTCATTAAGGATACAAATGAAAAAATACGTCACGGACATGTCGAAAATATAAAGGTTCTCTTTTCTTTCCCTTGGCTTATTGACTACGGAACCCTAAAAAGTAAACATCATTCTTTGCAATTGTGTAACTCACACTCTACTTGTACAATCGATTTCAAAAACCTAAGTTATTTTAAATCGTTGAGTTATTAAAATAAATACCCAATTACGTATATATTTTCTTATCTGAACTTTTCTGTAAAGACAGAAGAGTATATATAATGCAAAATAATGCTTTTAAGTGTCACATTAAAGACTTTAGAGCCATTCAGTCGATATGAAGACCTTCACTGCAGTTGTGCTTCTAGCAGTCCTGTTTACTTGTGAAGCTGGTAAGAAATATTTATTATTTTCATGTAGATTTAGTTTCGGTTTCATATTCATGCAAATAATATGATTACGCATTTTGTATATCATGTGTTATAAATTATGTTTACATACGTATTAAGTATTAGGATTGCCCGCGGCTCCGCCCGCGATCAGATGACCAAAAACCAAATTCTTAAGTTTTACATATGACTATACTAGACTATACTATGACTATCACCATACCAAATTGAAAAAAATGCAAAATCCCTCCTCTGGTTTTTCCGTGACGCGGTAACAGACAGATAGACAGACAGACAAAAATTCTAAAAACTATAACTGTATCGATAATAATGTATATTTCAATAAGGTTTTTCGAAAAATACACACAGATTCGGCTTAGTTACAATTTTATTATATGTACAGATTTGAAGTATGTGTAGGAGTGTATTCAGAATCTAAGTGAAGTGAGCCTACACATTGATAAATGATTTGATGCAAACAAACGTCTTAAAAGAAACTATCTATAAGTAATTTTTATAATTCAGTACTCAAGATTAAAAACAAAGTAAGTAAAACACTATCCAATCATCAATATATGTACGTATCCAAAATGTACAAGAGGAAATTCTGGGTAACTGGTTACTCAATAAATGATTGTAATTTTGATAGGATAATCTTACTAATATTATAAAAACAAAAGTTTGTGAGGAGATATGGATATCTGGATGTATAGATATATGTTATATAATATATGTGTTTGTTACTCTTTCACGCAAAAAGTACTGAACGGATTTTGATGAAACTTTATAATAAAATAGATCATACATCAGACATAGGCTAGTTTTATTCCAAAAATTATTTATTCCGGAAAAATGTACGGTTCCGGTGGGATAGATTTGTTTTTGATTTTCTAGAGGTGAACCCAGGTGAAGCCAGGGTGAGCCGCTAGTATTGCTATAAATTGTAAAAGTTTGATGATACTGATATACTTGCTTAGGATATGGACTACATCATTGCATTTGGCAAACGTTTGGTTACTATGAGCCACAGTTTACATTAGATTTCTCTTGTCCATAGGAATTTAATAGTATAATATATATTCTGTTCTATCAATTACGATGTACGAATTTGAAAATAACGAGTATATACCGTTTTGACTAAACCCCTTTAACTTTATAATATACATACATAAAGTTGTATCACGACACTTCCAGATGCTGGAAGTTTCAATTTATCCGGGTCATTTGATCCCGGTTTCACAATAGGGCGTGGTAAGACATTTAACAAATATAATTTTGGGGTAAACTCTGTTTTATTGTTTACTGTAACTTGTCTTAAACTCATTCTTATTTCAAACAGGCGTTTGGTTTACTTCCTTTCATGTTTATGTTGAGTGTTGGCTTATACTTCATTGATTTTCAGTATAAAAAGTCGGTTATGTGGGATTTAGACTCGCTTTTTGTGGGTTCTGTTCTGTCACCAAACAGTATATCACCAATATAATAGGATTTAATATCGACTAGTGGTTAAACCCCTATAGCCCATCCAAATTATCCTTAACAAAATATTTTTATTTAACGGGAACAGTTAAAGATAATTGCACACATAAATGCTACACATGTGGGTCATAATAATAATATGTGTACATTTAGCATGGGTTCAGGAAGAATTTCGCAACATTGATAAAATTTTAGTTTGACAGGTTGCGGGTCAACGACCTCTATTATCTATCCAAGCAAACTAAAAATACCGAAGAATAGCCCGAATTAGCGCTATCCAATTTATTTGTATGGGGCATCTTTACTAGTATAGGATTATGTCATCTGTAATTTCAACCATTTTATCCTCTACTCATTTCTTATCTTGTCTTTCAATTTGCGATGTATCCAACAATATTATGTTAGGTTAAAGTTACTGTGATTTCATATGTTAATTAATTATATTATAATTATATAAGAAACTAGTTTTTGCACGTCGCTTGATTGCGTGCTAAGTGCGGCGGAAGAAAATAGCTTATGCTCATCCCCAGGATACAATCTATGTCCTAGCCAAATTTTATCGAAATTTGTTTAGCTGTTTCAGCGTAAAAAGGTAACAAAGACTCACGTTTATGATATCACGATAATTCTGGCGCACACTAGGGTGTTTGTCACTATTAAAAAAATATTTTTTGTTTCAAATTAGTAATATACATATATTGTAATATTCTTGCAAATTCTGCTTTATTAAAATTTGATCAGCCGATGCTTACAACAATAAAATCTATTGACGAAATTCTGAGTTAATAGTCTTGCTTCTTTACAAGTATTATAAGAAACTATTCAAAATGCTCGAACTTTTACTGAAAGTGTGGATAAATCGAGAAGATAATTTATGGTAATGCTATGACTTCGTATACTAAATATATTTAAATGTTGTTTTATTATACCAAAGGGATTATAATGGTAACAATTACCCTAAACTTTACTTAAACTTTAAAGTGTGTATGTAGGTCATGAAAATTTAAATATTTATCGTAACCTTCAAAGCAAGCTGTCAAGCATTCATTGGCTTTTACGTAAATGTTTTTTGAATTGATATTATATATATATTTTTCATTTTCACGCATTTTCCTTTGCTCACACTCACATATTTACTTAATAACACTTATTATAGTAGATTAAACATGTCTTCCCACAAGTTATTTTCAAAAATCAAAAGCTTTAAAATATTCGCTTTGTCCTTAAAAAGAACAGGCACAAGGCTTGTCTTTTCACAAATGCTGTAAGAGATTTTCAAATGATTTCTTGTTAAGCCTTTAATATAATATTGATATAAGTGCCTATTCTTTTAGGTCGCATAGAAAGGAGGCATAGGGTTCGCGCAGAGGAAGTGGAAAATGGTATTGAGGACGGAATCGCTGATTTATCAAGTATATCTGAGGTAAAACATTTCAAAATTCCTGATGTGTTTTCTCAGGCCCAGTCTACTCGTGAAGAAGAAGAAGAACCAGAGGATAACGAAGAAGTAAATATTTTATTTTATTTGAAAATATACGAATATTGTAATTTTTTTTAAATAACATGTAAATTTACATGTAAATACTTGCTTGAGCTGATTCGTGGATTTTGTTCTTGCTTAGTTTGTCATATTTATTAACCCAACATATTTATTATTTATAATTGTTTAGTTTCTTCAGTTAAGTAATACCTAAGAAACTGCTTGAGATTTATTCATATTTACATATAGTAACGTTCTAGAATCTTGATGAATCGTTATCTCTTTATACATATCTATAAATATAATAAAATTCTAACTGAGTCGAATTTGTGCATTAAATATTTTTTGGAAAATCTTATTGACATAGTCATTATTATTGATACAGAGGCCGAATCTATAGTTTTAAATTTTTTTATCTGTCCGTCTGTTACCGCATCACGAGAAAAGCACTGGACAGATTTTGATGAAATTTGGTATGATGATAGCTGGCTATCTGGGTCAACATACCTATAGGATGTGTTGACCCGGTCCCGCTTTTTACTGCGGGAAAATATCTCATCTCTGAGAAATCTATACGAAACGTTAAAACGTAACCAGAGCGGAGCGAGGGTGAGTCGCTAGTATGTACATAAAACTAAGAAGATTTTACAAATAGAAATTTTGAAAACGTTTCAGAACATAACGATTATATTATATTATATTTCTTCTCTTTCCCACTCACCATAACTTCTCTTTATTTCCCCGTTAACTCTCCTTAACTCTCCTTCTCAATGATTGACTATTTTCACAAGTATCTATTTACAAATATGGCATATTCAAGCGTCCTATTTTAGGACAAAACAAGACCTAGGGACGCTTAATTAATAAATTTTCTCTTTAACAGGTAGCCCGTCATCATCATCATGGTAGAGCGCGCCATAGAGCTCACAGATATTAGTATTTAAGGATGAATTGCTTTTGTAAAATCTATTCAATATTATTTGAGTAAACAGTGCCGTACGAAACTTTTGTGTTTTATTATAGAACTGTTTAATATTTGTCTTTGTACTAAAAATAATATTCTTACATTATTTTCATTAATAATAATGTATATGATTCACTAGTGACTTACCCTCGCTTCGTTTGAGTGCGTCCCTCGGTATGTTTTAATATTTTTGTGCGGAATTCTAATTCTTTTTCTAAAATAAAAGTAGCCATTCTATTCTAGATGCCAGCTATTCTAAATGAAAGCTCCCGTTTCGTTATTTTTTACATTTTAATACCTGGAAGTCGGCTTTTATATATTTTTTTAAGTTTTTATTTTTCCATTTTTAGTGTAGACCTAATAAGCAGGTAATTTGTAAGAAGAAAGTTTTTTAATAACATATTCGATTAAACAATTTATTTTAAAAAATATATTTATTGTTGATTTTTTAGAAAACCGCTCTACCGATTTCAATAAAATTTATATGGGACCACTTGGGAAGTATACTCTTTGAAACAAAAGAAAATCCAAATCGGTTCAGGCGTGTTCGAGTAATCGGTGAACATACATAAAAAAAAGATTTCGACGAATTCAGAACTTCCTCTTTTTTGGAAGTCGGTTAAAAATCTATTATTCTGACATTACAAACAGACGTTTCAATTTTATTTATCTGTATAGATAGTTCTATTTCTAAAGACCATTTGTTTGAAATATGCCGATTAATTTAGTTAATAGATAATAAAATAAAATGTTGTTAGTAAACTCTATTAAACATATCTTCAATTCATCAAAATAATTATTTAGACCACTATTGTATTAATAGATATACATTGTTCTTAAAACCATGAAGGCATATTGGGTCGATAAGAAGACACGTGAATGCATGCCTCGTTGAATGTCCAATATAGAAGCAGCCAATCAAGTGCGGCACTTGAATTCTCTTGCCACAGTTTGTAGCCGGACTTGTACCACAGCTGTCGATTAATATCTCTTGGTCCATTGTAAAACTAGCATATTGCTTAAAATGAAGTCCAAGCGTCCATATTAAATTATTTTAATTTTACTTTGCATGAAACGTTGGATTTTACCTCCTTGTTTACTTATAGATATATTGGGTCTGTGACAATAAACGCTGTTATATATTGTCTTTAATAAGAAAATGGTTATTACAAAAAAATTTTATAAAATCTTCGCAACTGTCGACACTTACGATTAGATAATTTAAAAAAAAAATCATCTTATCTAAGACCTAAATAAATAATAAATCTGTATAAGACAATAAATTTTTGTCTGTATATTTGTGTACATTTTAAGCAAAAGTATTGAGCCGATTTTAAGTAAATTTTATGTAGTGATAACTTATTACTTGGGTCAATATTTAAGATACTTTTTACTATAAGATAATCTTTTATACCTAAGGAAAACACAATAACTGTTTCTGTCCAGTCATTCTTAGAAATTTACATGACTAACATACATATTACAAGCTATTAAAGCCTACAGAAAAGTCTATGTTAGCATGTGCCTTTGTCCTCTCTGTGAGGTACATTCGCAATTTTTATCTATTAAAAACGTAACGAGCGAGACGACGATAAGTCGATTGCTTATAATTAATAACATTCACTTGATGTACATATATGAATGTATTAAACATAATCATTATTATGGTAATATTAAAAAAATATATAGCAAAAATTTTTTAGAGTACAGTAATATTTACGTGAGCCTGAAAAATGTTAAAAATATTATATAGATTTTTGTTTATTGCTTCTTTCTTCTCCGGCCGGAGTGGATTTTGTTGTAGCACGTGTTGTTTCGCTTGTAGAAGTCGGCTTACTAGTTGAAGAAGAAGAAGGAGTAGTGGTCGTAGTAGAAGTACTACTAGAAGACAGACTGGTACTTGTTGTATAGCATGATGGATCATATCCTTTGCAGAGAATACAGGTAAACTAAAAAATAAATAAATATATTACTTATAATATTTTAATATCGTACCTAATATCTTACTTATTTAGGTTTAATTACTTTAGTAAGTCATTAATTAATAATTAATTAATTATTTTATACTTTCATTAGAAACAATATTTAATTCTATTGTTTAAAATAATCAGCAGGATGAGAATTGTTCTACGTTAAATTTTCAAATGAATATTTAAATAAGCATTTCCCAAATAACCAATACACAATAGTAAACGACATATTCAAAACCTATATTTAAAGGGAAGATCTAAACAGAGTCACGTCACAAACTGAAAATTTCATTTCCTCATTGTCATGTGAGTTGATGCACTTCCCAATGGCCAGTAATTTAATTTATACTTTTAATGTGTCGACCACTGTGTCTATGTGGATTTGAATACTGATAACTATACCTATTAGAGGTCGTAGATTCAATCCTTCCTTGGGGTAAATATATACATAAAAAATAAGAGATAGAGCACTATATTAAATATTATTAATAATAATAATAATCGTGTATTCATATTTAGCCCTTTTTAACGTCCCACTGCAGGGCAAGGGTCCTCCCCTCAATACGAGGGTCATCAGGCCATAGTCCTCCACGCTGGCCAAGTACGGGTTGGCGGACTTCACATGTTTTTTGAAAACTTGCTAGGTTTTCTCAGACAGGCAGGTTTCCTCACGATGTTTTTCGTCACCGTAAGGTAAGGAAGGTAAGTGGTAATCACGTTGGAAATAATTCGCACATGAAAATACTAGAGGTGGGAGACCCGGGATTTGAACCTGCTTCATTCAATTTCCCAAGCGAGCACGTTACCACTGATTGCGTTACTACCTCCATAACGTTATATTATTTAAAGGATATATTATGTGGCACATGATCAAGCATTAAAGCCGTAGTACATTAGCATTTCTTCCAATGCCTTTTAGTCCAGGGTTTTATGTGTCCTAAGTAAATAAAGCGTGCGGAGTTAAACATTAACGATCTATTCGAAGGGGTGCGAGGTTCACTAAAATGTCGTAAAGAAGAAGTTACAAGTCCTATGAGTGCGAATAATGGCACAGTGAATTGAAACTCCTGAAGGTAATGTGTATTCTAGAACGTTATTTGTGTTTTAGTTACACAAATAAAGGCTCAACATTCATCAGCCTTCAAAAGTTATTTGTCAGAAATCTGTAAAGCTATGACATTTATTTAAATGTACAGATTTTATTTATTTCTTTAAAAAAAATACAAATATGGTAATTATGTTTTGATGTCATGTTCAGTAAAAATCAATATTGTTATTCCGATGAATATGAAATATTTTTTTATATATCTGTGTGTTTTACTATAGATCATCTGTTTTACTATAGATTTTTTATCAAATTACATAAACTAAATATAATATAAAAGAGGTAGTTATGAATATCTGATACCTTCCATTTCATTTTCTCTTCTGTGCATATCTGCAGGATTCCAAGCGTGGGATTTCTTTTTTCTGAAACAATAGGCCAAATTATTTTCATTTATACTATGATACTGATTGCGGCATTGCTGGCGCATGATTCTATTTTTATTAATGTTCAATATCTAGATAGTCCTATTTAATTTAAGAACATGCAAAACGAATAACCTAAGTTATACTTTTGGATCTAAACTGCGATAATAGGGTATTGTTAATAACATGCTCATGCTACCCTTTCCTTCTCCTTTTCCTTTTTTCTGACACCACGTCCAGGTGAACATATTATAAGGCTCAAGACTAAGAAGAGTCTATCCTATAAATTTTATCACGGTGGAAGGAGCCTTTAGATTGATTTGAAATCGTATCTTATAATAAAATTACTGACCTCGGATATATTCGTATAATGATGTAGAATTTGGAATTATAATAAATAATATAGTAAAGCAAAGAAGTGTAGATATCCTGCTCAAAAGTGCCATGACTATGAGCTTCTACTAAATAGTGTTGTAAATTGCGACCCATTCTTCACTGTATTTATAACATAATACGTAAGTTAAACATGGATATGTGTTTTTAAAAATAAATGCATTTATTGAATCATAATTGAATTGTGCTATATTTTTAAAGTTTAAAATATAACAAGTTGATTGGCTATTCTGGTGTTAATCGAATATATGGGTGAAAACCACGTTATCAGGCCACGGCTGCATAGTGTCATATAAAATTTTGATGAAAAGTTTGTCTATTTATGTGCAAATTGTTTTAGTTTATTGGAAAAGTTTATATTTTTAGTTTAACACATAGCATTAAATTTTATATATATTCTTTATTGCATATAAACAGAGTAACACAGATAATACAGAGAACAATGTGGGCAAAGGTATTTTATGACATACATAATGTTATAAGGAATAAAACTTCGTTGTAATTGAACATTTCCTAGCATACTTATTTTATGTATATTCATATTGTGTTTTTAATTAATTATAGAGTATTTATTATTTTACATAAATTATGAAAAAAGATGAAGATTTTATATCATTTCTCAATAAAATCTTCATATTAGAAATGAAATACCATGGACCTGAGATATCCTCTGCCACTGGCTTGCTTGCTGGCTTTGGCCTTCCATAGTAGAACACGAAAACGAAATACTCTAAAGAGACACGACCCTTGCTTGCTTGTACATAAAACCACATAATTTCAAATATAGGCTGTGATCAGAATTAAGGTAGTACATATGTATATTATTAGTATTTATATAACTGAGCTTATCACGATAAAAAAGTTCAATTTGTATTATAATTTCAATATATTCTTACCCGATCACATGACATTGCTGCTATCTAGTGAAAGCCTTAAAGAGCGGAAGTGTAATATGTTTCTATCAAACGTCACCGTCTCTAGAACTTCAATTATAAACCGATGAATTCTTTTAAAGCATACATAGTAAATATCGCTAAGAAAAAATTTTGTACCCTTCTTTCGAGAAGCTTGAATTACGTAATAGTTCACTTTAAAATTCAAGTATAAAGCATATTGCCAGAACAATGGGCTTTGGAT